GTCTAAATAAAAAATTAAAAAAGAAAATAAAACATGTTTACATGTTACTGCACAAGATTTTATGCAAATTTTTGTATAAAGTGTAGGTTGAGATATTTCCAACCTGGTACTTTATATAAAATTTTGCAGAAAATCTTGTATACTGGTAATAGGATTTAAAGAATATTTCAAAATTCCCGCTATGTTGTATACCGCGCCATCTACATAGGTTTTACATTGAGAGCGAGAGAGTAAAATGATATAGCTCTGTCTCTTGAACTACAATTACACATTCACTTGGTCATCTGGTTGGTAATCTGTGCACAAAACTAAGCAACTGATAGTTGGAAAACACAAAATATTTAAACGAAGATTATTGCGGATATTGTCGAAGTCCACATGACACAAAATGACATTTACATAGATGTGACGTAAATCGCTCTGATTGGTGTTCAACCTATCATGGCGGTTTGCTGTATTTTGTAGTTTTATTTTATCAAAAATATTATCAATCTCGCTCATAATATGAAAATAAATACGTTTTTTATAATCCAGGAATTTCATTAGATAAATACATAATTTTAATGATTCTTGGTTACTGTCATCATGCCTATTCTTCTTTAGAGTAATTCATTTCACAATTACGTATATTACTGTCGCTTTTCTATTAAACCTTATGTGAATCGAAAATTTTACAGATTATCCTTTGACAGGAGCCTACTACATTATTTTACATATAAGCTATTTGTAAACTTCGCATTTTTTCATAGATTGAGATTTCATGAAAAACTAATGGATTTTGGTATAGGAGCAGATATAGGGGAAGCTCGGTGATGATGGCACCCTTTTTTTCAGTCATTGGATTTAATACCTAAATTAGCTAGTAATTGTATATAATCAAGGGCACACGTCAAGGATGTCATAGTCTAAATTAATTTGAGTTGAAAATACACTACAATATAGAATTATGATTTTTATTAAACTTTTCCCATTTTATAACAAGGGTGCCATCATATCAACCGATTTGATATGATGGCACCCCCTGTTGAAGTATGATGGCACCTATAATATAAAAGTAAATAACTACATAAATGATAAGTGAAATAAAAATATATTTATGTACGAAAGTAAGTAGGTTACAATAACTGCCTAGGTAACAAACGGAAAAAGATAATTCTGCATGAAATGAGGAAAACAAATATTATTTACAAATGTCGCATGTGAAATTTTTTGTTCTTAGAGGTTTTCCAGCGCAAGCTGCATGAGCCCACATCCCACATGATTGACATTTGAGCCAGATCTCTTTGGACTTAGACCAAGAAAATAGTTCATTGCAGTACAAGCAGGGGACATCTTCAACATCAACATCTTCGATATCTATTTGTGTGTTCTCTTTATTTTCATCTTCAGCTTCATCTCGCTCTTCAATAATTTTTAAGTTTCTCTTCGCAGCCCTTGCCAATTTTGCCCTTTCCTTCTGCTGCTTTTCATTTTCGATAGCTTTCTGTCTCAATATCTTGTGATGAATTTATGACGCCCGACTTGCCTTTTTCCTTGGTTTTTTTGTTGTTGTCTGGAGCATTGGCGTTGTTGGTAGAGGAGAACTGTCCTCCACACTGACAGAAAGTTTCGACTTGCACTTAGTTGTCTCTCCGTGCAAGGCTTTTAATACCTTAGAAGTACTTGGTCTTTCAAAATCTATCACAGGATTGCAGGGTGGCATTAAGTGTTCCTCTACTTCAGCAACAGTGTGGTTATTTCGTTTGCCTATGTTTTCTTCAGAAGGAAGAGGTCGATTTGTGGTTTCGGCTGGGGCAAACATCCAATCCCCGAATATATTTGGATTATACGGAATGATTCCTGTTTTCTAGAAGGCCTTGATGGCGGTTGAAGGTAGTGCGGCCTTGAGATAGGCTTCACAAAAAATTTGGGCTACTTGCAGATGTGTTACTACCCTTCCAGGGTGAGCCTTTAGCCAAAGACGAATTTGTTGATTGTAGTAGATCTGTAGCGGTGCGAAAAATGCAGAGTATTAAGGTTGTTTGCTGGGTAGTATGCGTATTGCACATATTAACTTACGATCTATATTTCCAGGTTTTAATGACTTCCGGAACTTAGTGCTTGAGAATGATTATGATGTAGTTATGCTTACCGAAACTTGGTTGTCGGTTGAACATGATTCGAATATTGTTGCATTACCAGGTTATCGTCTGGTACGTAAAGATCGGAATACGAGAGCAGGAGGTATTGGGGCTCATATAAAGTTGATATATGACTTTGAACAGATTTTATTTGATTTCGTGGTAAGTGACAATTTGGAACATCTTTTTATAAAAATAAAGTTAAGTAGTTTTTCAGTTGTAATTGGTGCCTTTTATAGACCTTTTAACTCAAACAATACTGCACTAGTTACAGATCTGGATAAATTTTGTCTTTTCTTTCTTCAGTTTTCGATGTATGGGAGATCTTAATTTTAACTTTTTTAACATGCCAAATCTAATCACTGATTGTTTTGAATCGTATAATTTTTGTCAGTTGTTAAACGAGCCAACAAGAATTACACAATTTTCTAGTACTCTTATCGATCCCATTTTCATTAACCGTAGTGATATAGTTAATAGTTGTGGCACGAAGCCGACCGAGGGAATCTCTGATCACAGGCTTGTTTTTGTAGATGTGAATATAAAAACACATAAAATGAAACCGAAAATGGTTACTTTTCGATGTTTTAGTAATTTTGATAAAAACTTATTTCTAAATGATTTACATAATCTTCCATGGCACAGTATTATTTACGAACATAATATTGATAATAAGTTAGTCACGTTTAATAATCTTATAATTGAATTGTTTGATGTACATGCACCTATTAGAACGATGAAGGTCACTAAGCCAAAGGCTTTTTGGCTTACGCCTAATTTAAGGTTGATAATGAAAGAGAGGGATAAAGCATTGCAAAGGTATAAGCAGACTAAATTGGAAACAGATTGGATAAATTACAAAAATTTGAGGAATTATGCTGTATCAGCTGTAAGATCAGAAAAAAAGGCTTTTTTAAATTCAATAAGTATCGGGCATAACTCGCGTAAAATATGGCGCACTCTCTCTGATTTTAGTGTGCGCAGTTGCAAAAAAAAATTCGATATACCTGTTAAGCTCTCAAACCCTAATGAGATAAATAGCTACTTCGCTCCATTCCTCCAATACAATTCTAATAATTGCGATGATTTGATTGAATATTATAATAATAACTGTCGTAATGATCAGTTATCTTTTTCATTTGACCTATGTACAGTTGATGATGTTACCGAGATATTGCTAGATATGCAAAGTAATGCTTGTGGTTGTGACAATATATCATCTTTGATGTTAAAGTACTGTTGTCCTTTTATTTGTCCTTTTATTGTCAATATAATAAATTGTTGCATAGAACAAAATTATTTTCCACAACAATGGAAAATAGCGATTGGTAAACCCTTGCCTAAAAATAGCAGTCCTGACACTTTTTCTGATCTAAGAATAATTAGCATTTTACCTACTCTATCAAAGATTTTTGAAAGAATATTGTATAGACAAATTTATAATTTTATTAATACGAACGACATTCTGTCTAATTTTCAATGCGGCTTTCGTAAAGGTTTTAATACTACAATTGTTTTAGCTACAGTCTTAAACGATATTATTGAGGCCTGTGATAAGGGACTGGTTAGTATCCTGGTATTGTTAGACTTCTCTAAGGCGTTTGACACCATTAATCATAACTTATTGATTTCTAAACTAAAGTATTATGGCTTTTCACGTGAATCTCTTAATCTGGTAAAATCTTATTTATCTGGCCGGTCTCAAATGATTCAGGTTGGTGATCGATTCTCTTCAGAATTGAATATTTCCAGTGGAGTGCCTCAAGGGTCTATTTTAGGGCCACTATTTTTTATAATCTATACCACTGATATATTGAATTCAATCTCCAATAACTGTATTGTTCAAGCCTATGCAGATGACACGCAAATATACATGCACTTTGATACTAAAGACATGGCTCGTGCCGCTGAACTTATAAATATGGAATTGAGTAACATTAGAAATATATCTGAAAAACATGCGTTAAAGTTAAATTCAAGCAAATGTAAAGTGATGTGCTTTGGCAGTAAGGAGAGGGCGAAATTTATTACGGATAATTTGGTAATTAAGATTGATAATACTCCCTTAGTTTATACAGATACAGCTAGAAATTTGGGTCTTATAATTGATACAAATTTGAGATTTGATCAGCACATTAAATGTTTGTTCCATAAAGCTTACTCGTCATTAAAATTGTTATATTCCAATCGGTATATTTTGAATATGTCACTAAGAAAAGCACTTTGTGATTCTTTAGTTTTATCTCATTTTAACTGCAATGATTTCATCTATGGACCCTGTCTGACAGCTGCTAATAAATACAGAATTCAGAAAGTTCAGAATTCGTGTTGTCGGTTGATTCATGGTCTAAAAAAGTTTGATCACATCTCGCACAAAATTAATGAAACCCGTTGGTTGACTATGGAAAACCGCAGACAACATCATCTTGGTAATTTTGTTCATGGTCTAATTATGAGTGACAATACTTCCTCTCTACTTGGACTTAAATTTATTACTAGAGGTGATATTCATACACGCGATATTCGTTTTAAAAATACTTTTACTTTACCCCTTCACAAGACGGCCCTGTTTCGGAGATCTTTCATATATAATGCTGTTAGATTGTATAATTCTCTGCCTGATCAATTTAGAGCTTACAATATTAATAAATTTAAGTATAAATATAGATTGTTTTTATTTGGCAAACAATTAGGTCATTGTAACGATTCATAATTTATTGTATATTTGTTTGTTGTTATATTTAGTGAGCAAGCACTTTGCTGTTTGTGTGAAAAAATAAATAAATAAATAAATTTGTGTGAACCTGCTGTATACTTTTTTTTCTTACTTTTGTATTTTTGTTAATTTATTGCGTATTATATTTATTATGTACTACATACCTATCGCAGTTTGTTCTGTATCTATAAATTTTGTTCTGTTGGACTATATCCACCATAGGGTTAAGTATGAATAGCTTATGCTAGACTTCGCCCATTTGGTACTGTTATTTGATTTTTACTCTTTTTTAATTGTATTATTATTTTTTAATAAAGACCATTTATTATTATTATTATTATTGAATCCGATGTCCAGAGGTTGGCACCTGTGGGTACAATGAGCCGGAAAGCAGAATAATACGATTTCATGCTCTTTCGCTTTTTGCAGAACACTAAGATGTTTGTGGCTCGTGTGACCATCCAATAAAAGTAGTACCTTGTTTTCTGGCCTTGGTTTAGCAAATTTCCCGCATGTTTTCTTCACTCCACGCTTGGCGAGGTTTGATACTTGGAGGCTTGAATTTTGGCATTTCTTGAATTATATTCTTATTCTTATAATCGCACTAACCCTGTGAAAAACCATCACCAATTACCAAAACATCACCATTAACCAAAGCACATTGCCAAATACAGATTTCAGATCCATTTGATATGATGGCACACTATGCCATCATAACAAACATTTGGGGTGCCATCATATCAAAAATACAACTTTACAAACTTTGTTAATTTTTCACATTGTAACAAAAACTTGGCATATATAGTTAATCATATTTAGAAAGCCTAATGTTCATACTATCATGTAAGCTTACTTCAATCAGCAAGATATCTAGACATGTGACCACAAATTACGAAAATTAAATGACCAGGAAAAACTTTTGTACTTACAAATAATTTCAATGTCACCCACCAACGGCTAAATAAACTCTACTGCAGGGCCCGAGAACTTATACTTGAAAAAATGAGGACACTCTGGGAACCACGTGACTTGAGATGGATATACAAGTTGGGGAAAGAGTCTATAGATGTCGCCACAAAGATTTTGTAGAATAAATTTTGACAATTGCAATTATGAATCATTTCATGTCATTCTTGTTCATGTTTATTGTTTATTGTTGGTTAGGTTTGGCGAGTGTTGGTGTGTGTTTTATTTGTGTTTTTAGTGTGTTTTATTAGATATTTCATTCACATTTATTTATATAACATAATAATATCTGATCATCATATAATCACATTTTTTTATTAATAATAAAATGTTTTTTTGTTTTTTTTTAATAAAAAATGTGATCAGAGGTAGGTAGTTTTTTTTATGGATATCCACACAACGAAAAATTTAAAGTTGCATAATAAATCTCTATTACAAGAATTAATCAAAGATTGGTTTAGTAAAATTATTTACTTGTAATATTTTTTTATTCACCATGAAAGCTAATACAATATGTACTAAAATTTGAAATTTTTTCAACAAACATTTTAAAAAGTTACAGTATCAAAATTATTTCTTATTTTAAGTAGGAAGACTATTAGAGCATTTAAAAGTGTCTTTAATGCTTGAGTGATTTTAATGCTTTTTATCAAATGTACTTATTTTCTCATGGTGACAAAAAAAATTATCTACGTGAAAATTATTTTACAAAATCAATTTCTGAGTGATCTGTGTAGGGTGAGATTTGTTATGTAATTTTAAATTTAGCGGCGGCAGAATACCTAAAACAAATAGAGTAGGTAGGTATATAGTTGTAGAGCGTACAACTAGATGGCGCTTGCATCTTTTACTGGCTAAAGGTAATTTAACTCACTGTATTACCGATAATTCCTAGAAAAGGAAAGCAATAGAAGTTGGAGAAAGTGTCAACAGTTAGCGCTGTTAATGACCACGAAATCTGTTCAAGTTTCCTATCTATAGTATCATTTATCTAGGCTCTACTGGCGTACCGCTGCTACAGTAGATCCATGGTGGCCTCTGGCGCCACCAGTGAGTTTCAATTAAACTAAATTCAAATAAATAGCGCCAACATTGGCAGGGTGCCATCATATCGACATTTCCCCTAGCAAAGTTGCAGAGAATTTAATTCTGCATCTCATGGTATGAAAATATACAGGGTGTTGCATTTAAAAAATTCGAGATTTTTCAAATTTTCAATTGAAAATTTTGACATGATATTTTGGTCACCCTGTATAACGCAGGCCAGTTTTTGGAACATGATTCGGAAGAGTCATCTTTACTAAACATCTGATAAAAAAATGGGCTTAGTAGCTATTAGTATAACCTGTCAGTATCAGAAAATGTAAGCAGCCAATATCGACTAGAAAAACATTTCAAGCGAGATATCCCAAAAACTGTGAATATTTGAATAGAACTATTCTACACAAAGTACCCTTCATTTTTGATGCAGAATCCGAAAAAAATATAAAAAATGTGTGTTTCCATTTAAAAAACCAAAGTTGGTGTCTGGCCAGGAAAAGTGGAACACCCTGTATAGTTGAATATATTTTTAATTTGTACATTCCGAGAAATGTGGCAACATAGTAAAAAGAAAAATCCATATATTCCTCATTTTAATATAGATATTGGACTTTCCCACACTAGTGGGACACGCTGTATGTTGTTATTTAACTGGCATTTAAAAAAAAGTGAAAGTGAAACGAATTTGGTAGACAGCTGTGATGTACTATACTATGCCTTAATTGTGCCGTCTGTTATTAAGAATCTTATACCATTGCCTTTACTATTCACTAATAGAAAGACAGAGAAATTTTCTATAATAACGCTCTATATAGTCTAGCACAGTGTTTCTCAGTGTGTTCCACGGAACACTGGGGTTCCACGAAAACTCGCCAAGGGTTCCACGAAAAAATACTACGTCGATCGATTCTTAAATCACAAGAAATGAAATGCTGCAGATCACACCAAATAGAAACATATTTGCTCAATTATGGAGGCATTTTTACCATTCTTTTTGGGTTTACTTATAGTATCTACAGGGTAGGAAAGTACCGATGGTCTATCTGAAGTTACGTGAGAGCGATAAAGTAAGCCATAGAAATCCATGCGATAGAGAAGGATGGCTATAATGAAGGGGTCTCATAGTCACCGCCCGTTTCGCCCTTCCACAAATAAGATCCACTTCTTATTTGTGGAAGGGCGAAATGGGCGGTGACTATGAGACCCCTTCATTATAGCCATCCTTGTCTATCACATGGATTTCTATGGCTTACTTTATCGCTCTCACGTAACTTCTGATAGACCATCGGTACTTTCCTACACTGTATATCAAAACTTCACATATACGGGGTGTTTCCATAACATCAGGACACAATTTCTGATGGTATTTAAAGAAAAAAACTTGTGGCTGGAAAAGCTTAGATAATTTTGTTAATACATCTATTTTTATTTGCTATTTCTCCCACCTATTAATTGGTTTTAACTGTCAGGTGGTGTAACTTGAATAAATAAATAAATAAATAAATAAGATTCCGAGATACAGGATGTTCAAAAATTTTAAAAAATATATTGATATTTGAGAATTTGGAACAGTCAATGTTAGGTTCTTAAAATTTGGCAGTTATTGTACGTTGGTAAAGAGCTGCATTTTTAGTATAAAATCAATTTTTAACATCAGGACACAATTTCTGATGGTATTTAAAGAAAAAAAACTTATGGCCGGAAACGCTTAGATTCCGAGATACAGGATGTTCAAAATTAAAAAAATATATTCATATTGAGATTTTGGAACAGTCGATGTTAGGTTCTTAAACTTGGGCAGTTATTGTACGTTGGGTAAAGAGCTGCATTTTTAGTATAAAGTCAATTTGTATCTGCCGCCAGTGGCATAGTTAGGCGTGAGTCAGTCGACGTTTTCATCATAAAATGTAGAAAGCCGGATTTTTAAAAATTTTTATTATTTTCACACATTTTACAACAAAAATGGTGTCTTGAATTTTTTGCCTAATACTAATCTATTCTTAAAAAAATATGTAACTACAAACAACAATCATAGAAATAATCAGTTTCAACACAAAATCAAAGCAGATATTGAAAATGGCCACATTCTGATAAAACGCACGAATCCAATCGTTTTATCATTGATTGTCTCACTAGTTCGAAAATTCCTGGAGAATTTTGTATGACAGCACAACTTATTCGATTTCGTAACTCGTTTTCATCTAGTACAAGTGTCTTATACACAAGAGACTTTCGGTGACCCCATAGGTGCATAAAAGTCCCAAGGATTCCTATTGGGACTGTGAGCTAACCAAACTTAAGGACTTGTGCGTCCAATCCAGCGATTAGGAAGGGTGTTGTCGAGGTACTGATGAGCAACAAGGCTGAAATGAGCTGGGGCACCGTGGTGCATAAATCAGAAATTAGTTCTTACATGTAGAGGTACCTACGTGTTCTAATAAAACTTTTAGTTCTTCGGCTAGAAACTGTCTATAATGTCACCAGTTAATCGAGCTGGTAAAAAGTGTGTTCCAATAAGATAGCCATGAATAATGCCTATCCAAACATACAGCGAAAATGATTGCTGAAAACGACCATCTCTTATTGCATGTGGATTTTATCCGAAAAATGTTCATTATAAAAATTAATAATTTTCATGAAAAAGTTGCCAGCAGAGCTTGTACCCGTTGTATGCGGTATGGGAAGAGCTGACAAGTTTGCAAAACTTTCCAAACAACCTTTGGACTTACATGAAGCTGCAATGCTATCTTCCCAGTACTGGTTGAAGGATCTTCTATCTCTTGAAGTATAGTTTCAACTCTGGGGTTGTTACTGTTGAAGGTCTGACTGGAACTTGCTTAAAACTATCAGTTTCAATCAGAGATGTAGCTTTGTTTTATCCCAGGGCATTACTCTGTTAGGATAACGTTCCTCATAAATTCGCCGCACTTCCGCATTCCTATTTGCTAAGCCATAGATGAAATACATCTGAAGCATTTCAGCATTAGTAAAGTTATTCATTTTCAAATTTTATCATCTAATCCACAATTTTGATTGACAACCTCGGTACCAAATAAGTGATTAAGACAACAAAAAAAAGCAGCATACCATATTATCTCTTATTTTTGTTGCTGCTGAATTAAATAAGTTTTTTTTCTAAGAATAGATTAGTATTAGGCAAAAAGTTCAAGATACCTTTTTGTTGTAAAATGTTAGGGGAGTCCGAAAATAAAAAAAATTCTTAAAAATCCATAGGCGTTCTACATTTTATGAGGAAAACGTCGACTGACTCACGCCTAACTATGCCATTGGCGGCAGATAAAAAACTGACCTTATACTAAAGATGCAGCTCTTTACATACAATAACTGCCCAATTTTAAGAATCTAACATTGACTGTTAAACACTGAAACTATCATTCACACATATCCTGAGATGGAGCATGTTCACCATAAGCTTTTCGAAGTAATCGGTATGATTCAGCAGCAGTTTTCTTCAAATGAAAACAAAAAATTAATGCTGTCCGCGAATGCTTTTTGTGTGCACACTTTTCCAATTTATTCTGACACTTGTTGATGACACAACAAAATGTTGCAGTGTCAAATCTTTATAGCACAAACTACAGTGACTCTATACAAGACAGTGGCGACAATAGAGTGTATCATTTTTAATTGATCCACGTGATTTTAGCTGCCATGTCACAGAATTATAACACCAGAAGCGACAGTTCCGCTTCCCGCCAATTTTTTTTTCGAGTGC